TTGTTTTTCGATCCACCTTTCTCACCTCACTTTTCCTTCAATCTTTCTGTCTCACCTACTCCTTTCTTTCGATCAACCTGTCTCACCTCCCCCTTTCTTTCGATCTACCTGTCTCACCTCCCTTTCTCTTCGATCTACCTGTCTTATCTCCCTTTCCTTTCGATATACACGTCTTACCTTCCTTTTCTTTCAATCTACCTATCTCTCCTTCCTTTTCTTCGATCTATCCGTCCCGCCTCCCTTTTTTTACCTGTCTCGATCCCCTTTCCTTTTGATCTATCTATCTCACCTCCCTTTTCTTTTGATTTACCTGTCTCATCTCCCTTTTCTTCCCAACTACCGGTCTCACCTCCCTTTTCTTTCGAACTACCTAACCTCTCTTTTTTCTTATGTACGTCTCTAACGTCCCTTTCCTTTCGATTTACCTCTTAACCTCTTTTTCCTTTCCATCTACCCCTCTTACATCCCTTTCCTTTTGATCCACCTCTCTTACCTCCCTTTTCTTTCAGTCTACCTATGATTTGATCTCCTTTTTCTTTCAATCTACCTGCCATTCGACCTTCTTTTCTTTCGATTTATATATCCTCCGACCTTCCTTTTCGTTTCATCCCTTCGACCTTCCTTTTCGTTTCATCTATCTATACTCTGACCTTTCTTTTCGTTTCATGTAGTTGTCCTTTTACCTTCTTTTTCTTTCGATCTCCTTATCCTCCGACCTTCTTTTCTTTTGATTTATCTGTCATTCGATCTTCCTTTTCGTTTCATCTACTTGTCCTCCGACCTTTTTTTCTTGCTATCTCCTTGTCTTCCGACCTCCTTTCTTTCGATTCATTTTCCATCGGACCTTCCTTTTCGTTTTATTTATATATCCTTCAACCTTTTTTTTTTTTCGATCTCCTTGTCGTCCGACCTCATGCTTCCATTTCTTTCAATATTCATGTCCTCCGACTTGATCTTCGACCTTCTTGCTCTTTCGATCTTTGTCTCTTCTTTTCCTTTTTTTTTCAATTCCTCTCTCGTCCTTTCCTTTTCTTTCGATCTATTTGCTTAACCTCATTTTTTTTCGACCTACCTGCCTTACCTCCTTTTTCTTTCAATTTAGCTGCCTAACCTCAATTTTCTTTCGATCCACCTGCTTAACCTTCCTTTTTTTCAATCGACCTTTCTAACCTTCTTTTTTTTTCGATCTACCCTCCTAACCTCCCTTTGTTTCGATACACGCACCAGACCTTCGTTTTCTTTCAATTTACCTATCAAATTTTTCCCCCTTTTAAGTTACATATTTTGATTTTTGACACCCCTTTCATATCTATTTGCCCGTCTTTTCTTTTTATATATATCCATCTTTCTATTATCTCTATCGTTTTGTCTGTCTAGCATTTTTATCTATCATTTAATCTGTTCTTTTTGTTTATCTATCTGCTTATTCTTTTCGTGTATTTGTTTTTTGTCTATCCTTTTTTTTTTTTTTCATCAATTTTTTTCTATCCGTTTCTTTATTTATTTTTTATATCTGTCTGTTTGTCTACTTGTTTTATTGGTTTATTTGTTTATTCTTTCCATCCGTCTATTTGTGTGTTTGTTTATTTTTTATATCTATTTGTTTGTCTATTATTTGTATTTATCTATCTATTCTATTTATATATCCGTTTTTTCTTTTTATCTATTTGTATGTCCACTATTTTCGTCTATGCGGCAATCAATTTTTTTTATCTATCTTTCAGTCCATTCTTTGTATCAATTTATCTGTGTATTGTTTTTTTTGATCTGTCAGTCTATTCTTTATACTTACATCTCTGTCTATTTTTTTTATCCATCTCTCTGTTTACTATTTCTCTCTATTGCTCTGTTTGTTCCTTCTATTTTTTTATCTATCTATCTATTTGTCTACTCTTTTTACTTATTTGTCAGTATATCTTTTATATTTATCTATCTGACTATTGTTTTCTATGTGTCTATCTATCTATTATTTTTATCTATCTATTTATCTATTTTTTTTATCTATCAACCTTTCTATTATTTCTATTTATTTACCTGTCGATTTTTACTACTTATCAAGTTATCAACTTATCTATTATTTCTATCTATATACTATTTTCCTCCCCCCTCTATCTTTATATTTTTTCTATTTATATATTTGTCTCCTCTTTCTTTTTATCTATCTATCTATCTATCTATCTATCTATTTTTTTTAATCAATATAGTTTTCTATTATTTCTATCTTCTATCTGTTATTATCATTTTCTCGGATGGTCAATAATCGAGCAATGCCCTCAGTGCACGAAAGACAAAGACGTATCTTTCCATAATCTAGCTAAAGGTTTATTTTATTTTTTCGAGTTAGTAAATAGTAGAGCATTGTTACACAATGGGTAGTACGACGATGCATGTTGTTGGGTTTTACTATGTACTTGTATTTTAACATTCCTCAAAGTCATCCCTGCCCCCCCATCAATAAATAAATATGGTGATGTATCTTTCCATGTTCTACCTAAGGATCCATTCTTATTTTCCTCATTTGTTAGTAGTCGGGTGAGTCCTCCAGTCCACATAAGATAAAGAATAGGGCATGTACCTTCTCATGTTTAAGTTGTAGATTTATTCTCATTTCCCTCGTTTGATTAGTAGAGCAAAGCCCTTGGTTGGGTTACATGTAGGCGAGCAACTGTGTTTGTGCATTTGCCCATAAAAAAAAATAAAAATGTATAGGATTTGTTTTTTATTAACGCACAGAGCAAGAAAAATAGTCCAACAGGCCTTACTCAGGTAGTACAACACTAAAATTGTTGAAATACATACTTAAGTTGGAATCTGAATATTATAAGATGAAAAAAAAAAGACCGTTCTGAAGTGCCTGGGGTCAGTTTTTTCCTTTGTTTTTTTGGAAATACATACTAAAATTGTTGGAATCTGAATATTATAAGATGAAAAAAATGATTTTATACTGTTTTGAAAAGTGTTTTCCTTTGTTTTTTTTTTTCCGCACACGACACTGATCTGACCATATTTAGACCCTAATAATTACGACTTTGTGAACCCTCCAAGATCGTCATGATAACGAAAAATATGACCATATTTATACCCTAATAATTACGACTTTGTGAACCCTCGTAGATCAACGTGAACGAGAATAGGAAGGACAACTTAGCCCCTCCTCGGGCTCAGCGGCTATCAATAATAGAAATTTGACAAGAGTGGAATAACTTGAAGTGCCCTCGTACTGTCACCGACAGTATAAAGTTCAAGAAGGATTTGGTCACTAAATATGAAGAGTTTCAGAAAGCTGCCTTAAGAAAAACGCCTTACTTCAACCTTTGGGGGTTGGTTAATGAGAAATCGAAGAAAAAAGAACGAACGGAGAAACTGAGGTACTACTTGCCTTTGGTTATGACGGACGATGAAACGTGGGAGTTTGGCATGAAGTTCTACGACGAGTGGGAAAAGGGTTACCCGCTCGCCCCTGATGGCGCTATGTGGACGAAGAAGCCTCCGACAACGGATCCAAAAGTCACCCGTGAGGGTCAATCATTCACGGAGGACAACAGTGGCCATAAGAGAGTTGTGTCTAATGTGCGTGTGACTGATCCGGAGATGCGGAAAGGAAAGAAGAAAAGGAAACAGGAGGAGCACGACTTTTTCGTGCAAGTGAATGAACCCGACGTGCATTGTTGAAAAAACTTGGGGGATTTTACAAACGTGGAGAGACGTCGGATCCTGCGAGGCTTACTAGACCTCGACATTGTTTGGGTGCAGACAGGAAGCAAAAAGTTGATTGAGCAGGGAAAGGTTGGGATGAAAGATGCTTGAGAAATTGTCAAGCAAGATCGAATGTTACTCCGACTGTGGCATATCATCCAATTCCAGCATGAGGGTCGGGACAATGATGATTGGAATGACTCCTTTTTCTGGACGAAAAAGCAATTGATGGCAGAGTATGCCTCCAAGGGGTTGGACGAGAAGTTGTGGGCGAGCTGCAGGAAATGGGTCGCAGATCACCCTTGCCTCAAGGAATGCCCCCAATATCTCGGTTGTTCCTGTCATAAGGACTTGGCGACAACGATGAAGCTGGTCAATTACGAAAAGTTTTCCACTGAATGGAAGCGGGTTGTGTTGTCCGTGCTCAAAGGCAGCGGGGCCGCAAGCTGTGGGAGAATGCACCAATGTCAAATGGAACGACACCAATCAGGTGACAACCCTCGCACCTTTTGCTTACGACGCCATTACGATTTTTTTAAGGAAAAATGAGGTGAGGAAAGTTGTGACGCAGCTGCGATGCCACACCTGCATCATCGACTTCTACGATCCTGTCGACTAAGCACATTGGAACGACGAGGCTTTCCGGTCATTGGCGCCATTCCTTGAGGCTCTGTGTCCTAATTTTTGGACTCTGATTGCTTTTGTTTGCAGGCAGTGGGACCTCTCCTTCATGAGTCTTCTGCACATTCTTCCTGTCATGAATGGTTGTGCAGAGAAATGGGTTCGGAGGGGTCATGTTAAAAAGCACTACCAAATCGGCAACAGTGTGTAGGCCGACGAGGACAGGATGTATGCTCTCTTCCATGACAATGATATGAAGCTTAACACTCCAATGATATATGAGGGACGGTTGCCGAACGACGAGCTGCAACTTTAGGGAAAAGGCAAAAATTGACACCCTCAGACGTTGCCGAAACACAGTTCACAGCCACGACATATGCATTGGCAAGTGTGCACCACCTAAAGGGGTTCATTTATAAGGAGATGGAGCGTCACTCAGGTATGTTGTTAGGTCCGATAGAGTTCTTCTGCCCGGTCGAGAATGCAGTGATGTTCATCGGCAAAGCGCACGCCCAGGTTGTGTGAAATCTTCTCAAGGGTGGGCGTCATGTTGTGGCTATCGAGGGAGACACATAGCTCCTTAACTTTTTGATGACATATGTTGTGCACGAGGTGCACACAAGTGTGGACAACTGTGAATTTTATCAGGTGCGGAAAGAGGTCAACAATAATCCCGACAGGAACATGTGTTTCAAGCTGTCAGCTGACAAAAGGGCGAAGATGTACAAGTTTCTATTCTTCGACACACTACCGAAACTAAGATTCGAGGACGACTACAAGGGTCGCCAAGATGTCGTGATTGGGGCATTGGATGACTTCCATGGTGCTTCTAGGGAGTCTGCGGCCAACTTCGTGGAAAAACTTGAGGAATGTTATTTGGACAATGGTAAGATGAAACTCACATTAAATTATTACAAGGCTCATTTCATGGAGGAGGACAATTTTAACGCAAACGGCGAGGAAGAAGTCAGTGAAGGTGAGGAGCGGTTGGATTTAGAGTCAGTATATCACAAATATACTGCCGGTATGACGTCCTTTTCAACGCTTGCCAGTTTGAAGCATGTTGCGAGTTCGCTTGTCGTCACTCCTGTCGCAACGCCAACCTTGGGCTCTTCAAAATGATTTATTTCCTCCATGAGAAGCAAACCTCGGAGCGCGACTGTCAAGCCTGAACGTCCTCTTCCGCCGACGCACACATTGAGATTGCAGCCAGATCAACTCTATTTCTTCGGGATGGCACAAAGAAGTAGCGACGAGAGTGATTGGGGTCATCATGTAATTTAACATCCAGATATTTTCCAATCGGCAGTTATCGATGGTGAATGGATCATGGCGTTTAAAGACAAAGGCGAGTGGAAATCAGATGCTCATTTGTCCAAGAGAGATTTTGAAGAGGCCGCCCTCCAAGCAGTTATTGACCATGTCGCGGAGGTAAACTGCCGTGAACCAGAAGACATCGTGGTCAAAATGTTTGGAGAGCTGAAATACGAGATTCTTCGGGAGCACAACATGTTGGAGATATGTCGTGACTTTTATTACCTCGAACTAAGTTCGAGTTACGAAGCTAAAATGGATTGGCATATTCTGCCGGCTGACCCAACACACGGAGAGGGAACTGGACGTAAAGGAGATGACGGAGGAGATGACAGCGCTTACGGTGGAGATGGTGGAGGGCATGATGACCGAGGTGGTGGCGCGGGGCGCCGAAATGTTGCGAGCTCGAGAGGAGGTACGACGGGGAAGGGCGGAATGAGTGGCATAGCTTCGGTAGAAGGTGCGAGCTCACAAACTGGGTAGAGACCACGCATGTGCTACGAGCTTCTGATCTCGGTGGGCAAGGACATCACTCATTGCCCGGTAGCGGATGTATCCATGATACAACTTCTATTGGATCTAATTTCATGGGAGATGCCCAGTCAGCCGATGTGAGTTCCACAAAGGATCCAGGACGCGACACTCAAGAATGAGAACTTGTGACGGATACCATTATCCTGCACAGGCACAGCGAGAATCTGACGGAGAAAACGGCAGGCACGTCATACTCCCCCGAAATGAGAGATTCTCTTGCTAGCCCGTGTGCACCGGGATCTGATGGGGACAAGGGGCAGGGACTGCGTGTTGGCAGTTTTACTGCCGGCAGCGGATGTATCCGCCGTCCAAGCGGGCGCATCAGTGCGGAGCAGAAGGAGGACTTAGTTGTCGGAAGCATTTCTGTCGGCGGCGGATCTATCCGCTCCTCGACGCAGCAACCCAACAGCACGAACAACACCCTTCCTCTTGGTATGGAAGACCAGGAGACTCCACCCCCTGATACACATTATGGTGGTTCCGAGCACGGGTATGTCCCGCTGCTATATTCTGGGTTGGAGGACAAATTGAGAAGTGATGTGACACCTCCGGTGCTTGACATGCGGCCCTTGAAACTCCTTACGGCTACAGTCAGGTCAGACCAATGCGATGAGGACGAAGACGTCACCATGCTGGAAGTGGAAGAGGTTACTGTCCGTCGTCCGCTCGAAGATGATCTTGTCAAGACACTCTTTCGCGAGAGCTGTAACGACGAATACAGTTCGCCCGTTATCATCTCTTCCTGGCCACGATTATTGACCCCCCAAAATGAAGTTTTTGCCATCCGCAAGAGTGTTGGGACAACTTGTCGTACTGTACAGTTGTGTCCTGATGAAGGTGCGTGAGAACCTCACAAGGAGTCTACTGGTGTCGCTCTGGAAAAAAGTTGTTCGCCTCATCGACGCAGACGTTAAGGACTTGTCCCGATTTCCATCCCAGTTAGATCTCATTATAGCATCGACTGAGACTGAAGCAATAGACGAGTTGGTGCTGGGTCGAAGCGCGGCATTTGTAGAAAAGGACTTGCCGCAACTGAACGTTTTAGACGCGAAGAATACTACGAAACATCTTCGACAAGAAGCCGTGACTGGTAAGCAGTGACATGAGTTGCTCATGTTTGGGTCTACGTAGTGAATGAGCGTTTGGAGATTAATCAGTGACATAAGTTGCTCACTTTTGGGTCCAACTACTGTATGAGAACCTGGAGTTTACTTTTCGATGTAGAGAGCGGCGATATGTTTTGATATGTAGGTAATTGCTGGTTGCCCCTTGGTTGTGCAGTGCGGTGATGTGTTCATTGTGTTGTATTCATAATTTTTTTTCCTTCATTTGTTGTATAGGTCGACCATCTCCTTCATGTATCGTGCGGAGAAACTCGGAGGAGTCTCTCATAATGACGAATATGCCTCGATTGTCGAGAAGGGATATTCAGATTGTAGAAGCGGCGGGTATGAGTTCTGACACATTTGAGAAGTTGCATATCAGAGTTTGCAAGAAGTGCGTTGTTTCTCTGCTTCTTGAACCCGCGCCATACTTTTCTAGAACTACAAGTAGAGGGGTTCAAATTTATAATACTTTTAAGCAAAGAACGAGACGACTCAAATACTTAGAGTGCCATCCTTCTCATGCTCATGAGTGTTGCTTGGTTGGACTGTGCAGCAGACGTATGCATGTCAGGTATCGGAGAAAATAAGGGACAATCGTCCAAGTTGATGGACAAACTTGTTTCATGTTGCCTACCGCCGGTTATGGTTATTGTTCGTCTGCCGACTAAGAACTTGCTTGTTAGGGTGAAAGACATGGTGACATTATTGGACAAAGGCGGTGAGCTTAACGATGAGGTCGTCAATTTTTATTGGGCTCTCCTCACCAGGGACTATCGTCGATCTCCGTTCAAAGTGTACAACTTCGTCTTCTTTTTCTTTACAAAGTTGCAGTTGCAGGGTTTTAGAGGGGTCAGCAGATGGATGCAAAATGTCTTTTTTTGAAATATGATATATTGCTCATTCCCATTCACAAGGACTGCGAACATTGGGTCCTTTCAATATATTTTAGAAGGCATGTTGTAGACTTCGTCGATTCCTTTTATAATCTGGTCTACAATGCGTCATTCGCTTCTAGTTTATTTAAAGCGGTTGTGGACTATCTGAATAAAAAGACAACGGTAAGAGGGTTGCCTAAAAGGTACAATAACATGAGATTTGAAGTGCTCGTTAAGGGAGTTGAACTTTGTGTTGATAAACTATTGAGAATCTGTTTATATTCTGTTGAACTACGTTTGGAAGGTTGAACTATGTGTTGGTGCCATATATGAAGACGTTGTTGGTATATTACGGCGTAAGTGGCACCCACTTCCCAACCTTGTACAAATGTGAGGTTTTTTTATGTGTTTATTGCTCAAATTGCATCACATTTACAAACCGCTCTTCCACATACATTCGTGATGATATCGTTGAGATGTCGGGGCTGTGTATTAACATATTGTTGTCGTATTCCACCATAAGTGACACCCAGTTGCCAACTGTGTTAAAATGTTGCAGTTACACAAACATCTCTCTCTCTCTCTCTCTCTCTCTCTTTCTCTCTCTCTCTCTCTCTTTCTCTCTCTCTCTCTCTCTTTTTGTTATTGTTTTGACCGTGTCACTGTCACCCACACTTGTGACGATGTGGTTGGGAAGTGGGGGCCATATATAAAGACGTTGTTGGTATATTACGGCGTAAGTGGCACCCACTTCCCTACCTTGTACAAATGTGAGGTTTTTTTATGTATTTATTGTTCAAATTGCATCACATTGACAGACCAGTCTTCCACATACATTCGTGACGATATCATTCAGAGGTCGGGGTCGTGTATTAACAGGTTGTTATCGTATTCCGTCATAAGTGACATATTGGTTGCCAATTGTGTTGAAATGTTGCACGTAGACAATTTCGTTCCCCTTTCTCTCTCTCTCTCTCTCTCTCTCTCTCTCTCTCTCTCTCTCTCTCTCTCTCTTTTTTTTCATCATGTTGGTCGTATGGTGTTTCATACAGCAGTGACATGTTACGCAAGAAAGAATGAACACTTGAAGAAAACATTGGAAAAAAAAAAGTAAAAAAAAAAAAAAAAAAATTATTACAATGAGTTGTGTGTATGAATAAACAAACGAATCATGGACGTGGCGGAGTCGTATGTATGAAATGTTGAACGTGTCTTTTCTTATCGTGTGTGTTGTGAAGCACAAAATAAACGGAAGGAGGAGCGACGACAAATAATAAGTCTCACATTATTTTGACCTGCAACGCGTTTCACGTTGTGGGTGTGACGAGATCTTATATCCTTTAAGAAAGACAGTGCACCGATGGACGAGCGGATGGTGTGTGAATGCAGTCGTCCTTTTATGTCATTAAGGACATTGAACTCGCACAAAGCGAGAGCATGTCCCTCGTCCACGACTCGTAGAATGAATGCTGACGACGGACACGCAAGGAACGATAGCCCCGCACAGGAGGACGCTGCACCGGATGACAGTGGGGGAGGTAACAACATTGTCAACAAAGAAGTGAATGCCAAATTTGATTGTGGTTCTGAAGAAGAAGATCCACCTGATGTGCGGTCATTCGACACATCGCGCAGACTCGCTGCAATCATGTTGTCCTCCAGGGGTGGCTTAAGGATGTCGCTGAACAAAATCGACTCTCTTTTGTCAGTACTTAGAGATCCAAGATTTTCGCCACAGGAAATAGTGTATCGTAATAGCCGTGACTTTTTACGGTGGACGAGCAGCCAGGAAGAGACAAACGGGTGGCAGGAGATAGATCTTAGGAGTGAGGACTGGCCATCAGATGCACATGCCATCATATGGTACCGAGATTGGCACACAACGTTCATGTCATTGCTCAAAGCAATGATGAAAAGTATGCAGACGGTGTCGTGCCTTGAGGTGCAGCACCCCGAAGTACAACAAACAATCAACAGTGCTCGGTCAGGTACCTTGTAGCATCACGTACAGACAGTCATCAGAGCAGAAAAGGGTGTAGATAAAAATGGCAACACACGGTACGTGGTGCCTCTTTGTCTGTATTCTGACAAAACACATGTAGATGGACGACAGAAACAGATGGCATATCCATTAATGATGTCAATAGGTGACCATGCACATGATGCGACACTTCTTGCATATCTCTCTGTCCTCCATCACCGTCCACGCGACAAAGGCTGGGCTTTGCAAAGCTCTGCGTTCAGAAAACGCAAAGTCGTCATATTGCACTCAGCACTTTCTGTCGTGTTGCAAGTTGCAAAGCAAGCGTCGCATGACGGATTTGTTTATAATGATGAACGGTGGGGAGAGATAACAGTGCACCCATTCCTCTTGAGTTACATTCAAGACTACCCTGAAAGATGTGTCATCGCAACGGTGAAATACGGCGTATGTGCGACATGCACTGTCTCTAAATCAGATTTTGACGTCATCGCAGACTTCACTAACTGTCGGAGATCACAAACAATGGAGGCTCAGCTTATTACCCAATTTCATTCAACAGATAATGACGACGTTCGCCGACTAATAAAAACACGATTGTCGGACTTGAGCATACACACGCATGTGAAAGAGAATGGTCTGTGGGGATTTTACAAGGGTCCTGATGACGACGATCCCATGTTTGACTACCACTTGGCTTTGCAACCAGACCGCATGCACACTATCGAGCAAGATATTTTTTTGCACATGTTAGACGCATTCAAAGCAGCTGCATGCGATAAGTTGAGCAACGTCGCACAAAGTGATGTGTTGAAGGAGTTGGATGCGAGGTTGCAAATGCTGAGCGAGAGAAGCAATACCACATATCTGTAACTTGTGCTGCCTGTTACAACAGGTAGCGACTAATTTTCACGTGAGGGGCGTTTTGAAGCAAAGCTGAACTGGTCGGTCATGACAGTGTGCGTATTCATAGTGCGCAATATAATTCCTGGTACGGCAGGGAAGCGAATAACAAATTGTCTCAGAAAACTAATGGAATTGTACATTTTGATGTTTCGGTGCACAAAGCATTTGACAAATTCGCTTAACGCATGTGACAATCTCATCACAGACTTCATAACAACCCTCAAACAGGTGTTGGGTCATTACCAAACCTCGAACTGGAAACTGCCAAAGTTACATGACCTTCTCCATTTTAGGGCGTGCATCAAACGGTCAGGTCTTCCTGACAATTTCGCGGCCGATGAATGGGAGCACTACTACCAGAAGTTTTGCAAGCAGCCTTCCAGTCGTCAAACAAGCGTAAACCTTCCTTTCAAATGGTAAATCACGTTCGACGGTCTGTCGCATTTCACGACGACGCGGAATGTGCAAGGAAACGAAGGAAGAGGACGACAAAGAATTGGTCGTCCGTTATGGAGTGCTCGGCATGCGGAATGAATACACTAGGCGCACGTGACAACAAAGTTGCAACTTCGACTTTTCTCCGACGAGAACATTGGATTACATGAAAACCCCGGAGCAACGGGAACGGGTTCGACGATACTGAACGACCTCCCGTGCAAGGAGTATTTTCGAGGTGCTCTTCAGACGTACATGTCAAAAAACGGGTGCAATCCACCGAATGACGACATGTAGATACACACAAGAACTCATCTTGCAATCGCAGCAACTGACGATGGAACAAGCAGGGATGCACTTGTCCAAACAGCGAGGGCTTCACCCAACTTTCACGGGAGAGCAGTGTACAGTTATGTTGTTGTGAGGGCACAGTCAGGAAGTACGTGGTATGCATCTATCGCAATGTTTTTTGTGATGAGGACCTACACAGAAGAAGCGTCTACCCGACACAACTGTGCCTTCGTAAAATGGTACAAAGAAGTCGATATAGAGAGATCAGATATAACAGGTTGCAAGAAATTAAAATGGGAAATAGTAAATGGCAGCCACCTCTGCAGTGTCATCTTCGTTGACAGCATAACGAACACTGTCCACATTGTTCCATGCTTTGCAGAACCTCAA